CACTCACTCACTCACTCACTCACTCACTCACTCACTCACTCACTCACCCACTCACTCACACACTCACTCACTCAGCCACTCACTCACCACTCACTCACTCACCACTCACTGACTCACTCACCCCTCACTCACTCACTCATCACTCACTCACTCACTCACCACTCACTCACTCACGCACGCACTCACTCACTCACTCAGTCACTCACGCACTCACACACGCACTCACTCGCCCTATAAATTTATCATAATTGTCAGTTTTGTTTGTGTCAGTAGTTATAAAATTAAAAAAAAAAATGATAAATCAAAATTATATTTCTATACAGTGTATCTAAATGGGCCTTTAGTTACCTGCCCGAAAGGTCACGTTCTTCAAGCAATTGATATTGAAAAAAGTACACGGGAATGGTAAATTCAATGGACATTTACATTTTTAATGAACCACGTTCATTTTACCAACTTCTGCTGTCCCGATTTTTCTTTCAATACAATGAAATGATCCTTATATGAAACAGACTCAATTAGCGTTAAAAAAATGAATCCTTTTGGATAATTCATGCTTGACCAAAAAAAATACTACTTACGCCAAAATTGTTTTCCCAAAAAAAGACGTAATAATGGTTCCTAAGACAGGTTCTCTGTATCTCCTATGGTTTCGGATTTACCCAGATCGACCACATACTGTCCCAATTAAAAAAATACACTGTAGAGGTATATACTATATCCATACTCCCCTTGTTTTTGGAATAAGTGTTTCACGTGCAAGTTGGAAAATTAAGCAAGGCTCAAATTGTCCGCTTCAATCCGAACACGTTCCATTAAACAACTTTTTATGGATTGATGAGGAGGGTGAGTGCGAAGTGTGTGGTATTCCTGAAGATACATAATCGTAAAACTTTGAATCTTGGTCAACACTGTCCACTTTATCGTATGTGCTCCTCGTACAAAGCTGTCAGATTTGATTTTGACATATTCTTTGGTTCTGAGGCCTCAGCTAGGAACTCAATTAGAAATTGCCTTAAAAGCTAAGTGCACTATGTGTTTTTGTTATCCTGTTTTCTTCAGAGACAAGTTTAGAATCACTGTAATTTAATTAATATTATTATTTAAGCATTTATTTTCTCAATTCGCATGTTGTGTTCACGTCTAGTAGGGTACATTCTTCTTGTAACATAATATTAACCAAATACTTTTATCTGTAATTTGAATTGTATCCAGTTTTGTGAACCGAAAAAAAAAGAAAAAAAAAAGATACTATTTTTGCTTATGTAGTGTTCAGACGGAACCTATCAAGATACGGTTATTTATGCAGGTTGATTTTGGTACATGTAACGTTAGATGGTTATTAATGTGATATACACCAAATCTCACTAAGCAAGTTTCGTGTGTTTGTTCACAACAAATTCTTAAATAAGTAGGTAGTATAAGTGGTTATGTGTTTTTGTTTCTGTTTTCGTTTGTTTCTTTTTTACTGTTAAATGGTTAGACATTATTTATTTATTATTCTTTAATCTTAATATAGGTACTTAATTACGAGTTTTCAGTTATGGCATGAGGTGTTTACCAGTAATTAACTGTTGCACTCAGCCTTTAAACAATGTTATGTATTCCTCTAGCAGTAGTTTTTGTGTAAGCAGTTGTTGGTGAACCAATAAATTAAAAAAAATTAAGAATCCGTATTGTCTGAGCCAACGAGTTCCGCGAAGAATTCTGTTTGGTTAGGTAGTATTTTGATTTATATGTTTAAATTCTATTAAGGGCATGCATTGATTTTCTAACGGGACTGACACATTCAATAATGATCAAAGCTGGTAAAAATTAAAGAGTTAAAAAAAGTAATAAGCTCGTAGTTTTAAAATATAAAAAGACTTCCCTAACAATATGTTTAAATCATTGGTTTATGAATTGTGTTAGTGGCAAAATTGTCATTAAAAACCACGCAATAAAGTGTCAGACATGGACATGAAATAGCGTTCCCGAAGCGTTGTGTAATTCAAATTAATCATATTCTGCTGTTAACTTTATTTTGCATGCAATACGAGCTGCTTTATCAAAGTTGTGACATACAGTAACTGTAAGAATTCAAAACGTAGCATCTCGGTAATACTTTTTCTAAGTAGCCAACCTAAAACGTTCTTTAAGAAAAAAACAGAGAAAGATAAACAAACCGGTTATTGAAAATTGTAATGGTAAACACTTTATTGATAAAATTATTCTAGTTTACAATAAACTGTGAGTAAATTACCGTTTACCGAGGAACAGGACATTAGGCACACATGTTGTCTACTTGCGGTGACCATGTTTTGTTTATTTTTTTAATACTTTTTTTGAGTTGAAACATTGAGTACAAAACAATTTCTGTATTATACTGATTACGACTCCGCATCGTCGCTAAATTTATTGTTTGATTTTCATCTTACGAACTGAATTTTTACACTAATCCACTACTTTTTCGGTGGGTTATCTTTCTTTTTTTGTGTTGTATTGGACACATAGCTACTTTCATCGTCTTCAATTTTGGGCATACAACACCACAAACTCCATGACCACGACCAATGGACAGAATGGGTCATCGTCTCAAAATCGTTATACTGGTATTATCAATTCTACCATATATACGAGTATACTATTTCAACTTTATAATTTACTTTTGCATACAGACAGGATTGGGTGCTAGGCAAGGACCACGTCGAGCATTAGACAACTTTTCGGTGCGATCACTCATGTCGGGGAAGTAATATTCTTTGTAATGTTTTTTTATTTGCTCTATCATTTCTTTTGAATGATCCCAACCTCTAGTTTCAGCTACTACTTTCATCTACAAACAATAACCGTAGAATTAAATTTATTATTTTTTAATAAAGGTTAATAAAGAAAATATAATACCACTTTCAAAATTTACCTGCACGCTGAAGACGTCGCCTTTCACCCACGTACGCTCGGGCAGACAGTCTCTTATTGTTACTCCGATACCTGCCAGAAGAGAGCAGAGGTCGGCCATTCCGCCGGGCCTATCCTGAATGGACACCTTAAACTTCATCAGCCGGCCCTCAGCGGCCATGCCACGTTCGAGTGTTCGCGATAGAATAGTCGTATCGATGTTGCCTCCAGATATAATACACACTACTCTGAAAAAATTCCGCGCGTATTAGTTCCACGATTGCATACAATTTTAATTTGATGTAAAGTTAGTTATAAATTCAGTATGCGCTTACTTTTTTCCTTTCAAATTTGGAAACATTCCAGCCATAATTGCAGCCATTGATACTGCACCAGCTCCTTCCACTACGAGTTTTTCGTCTTCTATTAAGTGCGTTATAGCCCTAGCCACCCAATCCTCCTTTACTATAACCTACAAATATAGGTAATTCATTATAAACCTACCAAAGTTCTTGTAAAGGAAAACTGTTGTGTTGTATTGTAAGTTCATAGTAATACGTATAAATTTATAGAAAATACATTTTACAAATTTACCATTTTGTCCACAAGACCTTTTAAGTTATGAAAAGTGTTAACTCCAACCGTTTGTACGGCGAGTCCATCAGCTATGGTATTTTCGATTGCGAGGAAAACTCGTTCATTTTTCCTAAGAGATTCTGCCATGCTGCAAGTTTTGTCGGTTGATATACCCTGTGGAATGTGCTTCAATTATAGTAAACAGGAAAAGACATCGCCACTTGATAAAGTTCCTGTAAGTACTCACGTAAATTTCAGTGTCAGGTTTGAGGTGTTTGATGGCAATAGCTACGCCAGTGATAAGACCACCGCCACCGACTGGCACCAATACTGCATCAGCCAAGGGTAATTGCTCCATTATTTCTAGACCGACGGTGCCATGTCCTTCTATTACATGTGGATGATCGAAACTAGGTACAACAACGAAGATTAATAAAATCAACCAAGTGCATGCTGCCATAAAAGCAAGTCTATTTTGAATAAGATAATTCTTTCTATTAAAATTAACATCACTCACCCGTTAACATACAACATTTTTTTGTCTCTTCCTATCAACATAGCATGTGATTTTGCATCTAGCACGTTATTGCTATGAAGTATTACTTTCGCTCCAAACTTTTGTGCTTTGTCAATTTTATTGGAGGGTGAAATAGTTGGCATCACTACAATACAGGGTATACCCATTTGTGCAGCGTGGTAGCTCATGGCTATGCCATGATTGCCAGCTGTGGCAGTGATAGTTCCGAGTTTCTTTTGGTCGTCACTTAATTGCATCAACGTATTGCGTACTCCACGTTCTTTGTAGCTATAATACAATTAACTCAATTGGTTGAAATGGCACAAGCTGCTGCAAGCAACTTATAAGGGTCAAATTTTCTTACCATCCAGTCATCTGCATGGATTCAGTTTTCATATATATATCCATACCCAGTTTTTCTGACATATGAGCTTTCTGTAAAATTATACAGAGTAATGGTACTAAGAGAACTAAGATCCAGTGGTGCTTCAGGAAGTTTACTTACTAGTAGTGGCGTTTTGCACACAGCACCGACTATTCGTCTAGAAGCCGCTACTATGTCATCGTACTTGATCTTTCGTGGGTTGGATGGATCACAGTACTCATCGAAACCAAAATCCTGATATTGGAAATTTACATTTACTGAGTAGTAAAAAACACAACACTACATAATTTTGAACACACTAGTTAGGCTCAGAATTACGATATATACATTAGCTCCTCATGTAAAGGAGAAAAATTACAAAACCTGCCTACTTACCGGATTATTAGCCATTTGTATGTATTATGCACGCTATATTACAAACAACAGATAGAGGATTGGGTGTTTGGTTTCAGTTTTTCATATTTAATTAAGTAAAACAAGAATTAATTTTTTTATCAAAATAGTAGATTTTGGTTTGACGGATGTTTACTTGTCATCTATCATTACCATTTCTTTCTTCAGTTCTCTTTGGGGCCATCGATCAATATTCAAATTAGGCGCAAATAGTTTCAATAGGTGTTTAAAACAAAATAAAAGAACCAATGGACGTTCAGAGAAACAAGAGTTTTTCTTAGATATATTTCAGACTTTAGTAACACATTGATTTACTCCACATTTAAAAATCTTAAACCAAATTAGGCAGTAACAACAATAATATATCATACACTTAGCTTACGAATTTTATACAAGGACCACACTGTAGCTCAACCAAAATGTTTGTGTCTGCTTAATGTCATCATAATTCTTACGGCTCTTAGAAGACGAGGCCTAATGGGAAATATTATCGTCATCATCGTTATGATCTTGAATAGTCATGCTTGGAGATAGTGTCTTGACAGGATAGTTGTCGCTATCGCCAGTGAAATACCATTCTCTATAAGTTGTCGCAATCAAATTTCGAAGTTCTTCCTTGTGCTCCGTACCTCGTGTCTCGCATACCACTTTTACCTGCAAGTTATTTTGTAAATGTAAAATGATTAAAACTCCCCAATGAATCTTGATAAAATGCGCAAAATGTAGTAGTTTTTTGTATTTTTCAATGTAATTTAAATCGTTTTTACAATCTCATAACTGACGATCTAGGATGATACATTCGGTGAGAGGTCATCGTCGTGCGGACTTGTCTATCCAGAGCGTCTTATTCCGTCTGAGTTTATTTGAGCACGCCAAATTTGTACATCAGAACAGGCATATCCCAGGAGTTATAAGCTCGAATTTTATTAACGCCTTACAAATAGCTGTTTAGCACATTTTTCAGGCACCCATAAAAAACCTCGCACACGTCTGCTTCATTCACACCGATGATGCTCTGTGACATGCCCAGATACCGGTATGTTTCAATCTCGGAGAGTACTACGAGTACGGAGAGCAGGTGATTTGTGCCAACATTAATGCCATCAGAATGCATGACACGTCCCCTCTCGACACGGACCACCGCGCACTTATCGATCCCAAGCTCCATCCTTACCGAACTGCTGAAGTCGTTGGTGATTGTCAGCAGTTCCGTCAATCGGTCAGCTGTGGGGCCGTATAGTTTGAGATCATCCATGTAGAGAAGGTGAGACATTCGCGGCCCACCTCTCCGAAACTGAAAGCCTGTGCCCGACCTCTCTAATAGAGTACTTAGAGGGTTCAGGGCCAGGCAAAACCACAGTGGACTCAGACAATCGCCCTGAAAAATACCTCACCTTATTTCTATTCGGTCATCAGCATCCGTCATACTCCGACCGTCCAGACTCAGGATCGTTCTCCAATACCCCATGCATTGCCCGAGGAAATGTCGAACTGCACTATCAATTTTATACAGTTCGAGGACCCTCGAGAGCCATGAGTGGGGCACCGAGTCGAACGCTTTCCTATAGTCTATCCAGGCAGCGGAGAAATTCCGACGGTTGCGTCTGACAAGTTGGCCAGCGACCGCGTCGATGAGGAGCAGCTCCTTACTACCGCGGCTACCGCCCCTACATCCGTTTTTAGCCTCAGACATCACACTGTTATCAACAATGTGCTGACTTATCTTGGAACTCGAAACAGATGTTAAAGTCTTGTATATTGTACACAAGTTATGGACAAGTTATGGGGCGATATTGTGATGGATCCACGGTAGCATCGCTCTTTGGAGCTAAATGAGTGACCCCAGTAGTTAAGAAGTTTGGGAGCGTCCCACTGACGAGCGAGAGTAGCGTGGCAGCACCAGAACCCCTTCAACCAATAATGGTGCAGTCCGTCCGGTCTCGGACTTTTCCAGTTCGGAGCCTTACGGACCGCTACCGCTATATCCTCTTCGGATATACTGATGGGATTCATAGGCGTTATGGTTGCACACGCTCCCTCGACCGCTACGAACCATGGACCGTCTTCGTGATCGACGAGCTGCGACCAAAGCCTTCGCCAAAAGGCGATCACTGCTGCTTTGTCCGGACGCTCATCCGTCAAGACCATATCAGGACGCTTCAGTGTCCTATAAAACTTCTTTTGGTCACTCATGACGAGACGATTCTGCCGATACCTCTTCACCCTTTCGGAATATCGTCGAATCCGCTTGCCCCAAGCAGCTATCTTCTGCTTCAGATCATCGATGCGCCCTGTCAATTTTCGTGTAAACTCCTGTGAGTCTACAAAAAAATTCTCACTGGGGAATGCTTCTTGCACCACTCTCGGCCTTGTGACGCCTGATCTGAAGCTAGCCAGTTTGTCGATGCGGACCCTGGCCCATGCTATACGACCCTCAATTCGCCTCATCCAGGCTGGCTTAGGACTAGTCCTAGGAGTAGTACTGCCAACCTGGTGTAACCGCCAGGTCTTGTTGGCGGCATCCTGACGCCGACAAATTGACACACAATCATTGCGGCAGCGAAGAGAATTGAGTCTGTCTCCCAAAGGCCTGCGCTTTCCTCTAAAAATGAGGGCAGCATGTTGTTAATGGCCCCAACGGCATCCCGAACCTTGACACTGAGAGGCACTCGAGGCAGCCGTGGCCTTCGCTCAAGAGGCACGTGGCGATATTCCAGAATCGTCTCCTCCAGACTACTAATCAACGTTTCCAAATCCAGGGCGACTGTTCCCCAAAAACTTTCAATACCACCCGTATCCGGCTGCTGAGCACTAGGTTCCCTGTGAACTTCCCTGCTGGGAACAGGAGAGCGCTCCAGCGTGGGTGGCTCTTCTTCCAGTGGAGGAACAGCCTCGCATCGTAATTGCTCGAGTTCGGCAGCGCTAAACGCGGTCGCGGTCGTGGTTGTGGTCATGTATTATTGGTATTATTGGTATGATTAGTATTATATTAGTATTATTAGTATTATTAGTATTATTAGTATTATTAGTATTA